CCCAACACACACACACACACACACACACACACACACACACACCACTGACCCATCAACCCTTCTACTATTCTCATGCTCACCAGGGCTGTCTTTCCCACAACATCCAGTAGTGTTTTCTCCATCTGTCTCAGTGGAGTATTCCTCAGTGCAGTTAAAGATGTCTCTTATAGATGAGGCCTTGGTCAGCCTTGCCTGAAGCCTTAGTGCCTGAAGGCTATACTATGAAGTCTCAGTTGACTATGCCCTTAGTCTGCTTACTTTGGTAGTGTCTTTTTCTCTTTCTTTGTCCTCTGTTGTGTGTTAGATTCTCTTAGCATATGTTGGTCACAAGGTAGGAGGTGGGAGTGCTTCCTCGCCTTCTTATATGTAGTTCTTCAGACTTTCTGACATCTCTAAGACTAGCATCAATGTTTTTGCTCTATGCTTCCACGTTCTTTGTACTTTGTCCCTTCCTAACCTAGGTAGTATTTCTGTAGTTTTGTGTCTTTTCCAGCTCTGGGTGGGTCTGAGAAGAGCGAGGAATGGCAGAGGTCACAAGGATTGCTTGTGGTAAGCTCCATTGTGTAGCCACTGGAGACAGCATCGTCCTTGGTGCAGGCTGGCTTTCAGGGTGGTGGAAGGAAGCCAGCAGGTAAGGCAGTGTGTCTGTATAACTGGATGACCTAATGTGTTCTATTTCTGCCAAGTCTGTAGCAGTCATGACAATGTCATGTTGTGTTTTCAAATGTGGACCAGCCTCACACATTGACACATCCTCACTTTATTCTTTGTGGCACAGACCTTACCAGGATGCCTCCTTGACCTGCCCACAGGTGGGGCTCTCTTGGTCATGGCTCTGTCCTAATTACTGTTTATTACAATTCTGTTTTCATAATGTTAGTCAGGAGCTATGCAAACCACTCAGTAGCTTTTGAGGGCATTTCTATTCAGTTGGATTGAATTTTACTGCTTCATTTCATTCTTATTTGTTAAAGAATTCAAAACACATGGCCATAGTTCTGCTGGCTGTGCTGTGTAGTTGATCTAACAGGGTCTTCTGAAAAAAAAATAGCTTTAAACATTTTAAACATGATTCATTCTTTTTCCTATTCACCTTATGGTTTCTCCATGTATTCTAAAGTCTTTCTAGACACAGTTCTGGGAAGACAAAGACTTTCATTATTTTTTTTCTTGCTAGAACTTTCTTTGTGCATTAAATTGTTATGTATATAATTCACAAACAAATACCTTCTTTTCTGTAAATTTTTTAATACAATATGTTCTGATCATGGGTTTTCCCCAAACAGTTCTCAGATCCTACCCAAATCTCTACCCACCCAAGAAAGGATGTAAAGATACCCTTGATTTCTCTCTTTTTAGAAAGCAAACAAACAAAACTCCAAACAAACCAGAATATAAAAAGTAACAGAAAAGTACGAGACACATGCCCTTCTTAGACAGTCACCTCAGCACCTGGCATGGTGCCATCTTCATGGTTGCTGCTCAGTAAATGGTACGTGAAGTCATACCACCTCTCTAGAGTGGCCTTGACCTTACTGTGACACTGTCTTCTCTTAGGTCAAGTGTTTTCGATGAGGTATTTTATCCAGCCTGTGTTTAGCAACAGTGATGCTATTGTTCTGTGAGTTTTAAGTCAGTGGTCCCTCCTTCTCAGTTGCTTTCTTTAATCCCGGATCGCTTCCCTCACTGGAGAGCTCATTTTCAGAGAAGGCTTTGTTTGCTCTTTGAGTTTTATCACATCACTGATTATCTTTTTATTATTTAACTCATTTAATACGGTACTTTGTGCTATATATCTTATATCCTTTACTGCAATTAGTGTAAATTACATACCTATAATATATAGATACAATACACCTGATGTGTGTACTCAGTGAATGGTTGTTTCCAAACTAACATCTTAATTTGAGCTAGTAGGTAAATTTGCATTCTTGGATCATGTATAGTGTTATATCTTTTGAGTTTTTTTCAAGTTATAATTTTATTCAGACATTACAAGATATAATTTGTTTTATTTGTACATCTCTCTCTTTTTTTATTTTGCAGAAAGAGCACAGATATTCTGAGGAATTCACTTGATTCTGATCTGGGAGTAAAGTCAGACTGAAAAATTACTTTTATTCTCTCTGTGTGTTCACGTGTGTGCTTGTATGTACATATGTGTAGACTAGAGGCCATTCCTCAGAGCCGTTCCCCTTGTATTTTGAGTTAGCTTCTCACTGGCCTGGAGCTCACCAGGTAGGCTGTGTGGTCAAGAGGTTTAGCAGAGTGGAGTGACAGATGCATTGGTTAGTATTTGCAAGCCCCACAGAGACCTTTAAGGAAGGCTTACTAGGGAGGATGGTGTTTGAACTATTGTTGGGAAGGCAATATAGATTTTTTTCCAATTGGAGAAACTAGTGAATATTGGGCATGTGACACCTAGAGAATTAATATGTCACACAAAGGTTTGGAAGAAATAAAATAGAAGGCTCTCCTAGGTAAACAGATAATTTTAAGCACACAACCTGGCTCAGAGATTTTGATAGTGTCAGGATTATAGACGTTATTGGACTTGTTCTGTGATAGAAAGGTGTCTAAATTGAGATTTAATTGGCTACATAGACAAAAGAAACAAGTATGTTCTCATTATTTTTAAAGCTTACCCAATTAAAAATTGTACAGTATAATCATGAAAAATGACAGATTGTGAGCTTTTTATGTCTCTAAAGTTAAGCTTTTCCCAATATGATCTTCTAGCAGCTTTCATGACTTTAAAAATAATTTTAGTATAAAAATAATTTTCACCTCAAAATTAGCAATTACATTACCATAAGAGGCCAAATAAGGTAACACAGTGGCCATTTTGCATTCATGCATGACAGTTAGTTTCCAAATATTAGCAGCCTAAAACATATCTTTAGTGATTCCTGGTTGGTCACGTTTCTAAACATTCATGTGTTCTTTCTTATTGTGTGACAGCATGTGAACATCACTGTCTAAGAAGCATGCCCTGGGAACTGGTCCTTGTGTAATACTGAGGTGGACCATTAGCCAGAGGTCCTCAGCTCTTAAAGCAAACTGTCGCAAGAAATTAAGGTTATCTCATGAAATAAAGAGAAGTGAAGATGTGGGCGCGCGCATGTGTACGTGTGTGTTCTTGTGTGTGTGCGTGCGTGCGCGCGCGCGTGCGTGCGTGTGTGTTTGTGTTTGCAAAGCTTGTAGAATGAGTTTGCTCAAGTACATTCAAGTGTTCCTTATGTGTTTGAACAATATTTGTTTTGTAGTAATCAAGTATCTAAATGAGAAATTATATACAACCTAGACTTTATTAGGGATGATTAAGTGTGTGATGGTATTTACTTTAAAAAAGGAGATCCATAATTTCATCTTAATGTCATTTGTGTCACAAAAGTGGAAAATTTCTAGATTACCCCGAACATTTATGGAAGACAAAGGCTGCATCTGTTTTTCTCATGTGTGTCTCACAGTTGTGTGTGACATCTGTTACATTTCTATTGCTGGCTTCCCAGACATCCAGCATGTGCTACTTTCTTAGCCATTTAACAAGCAAGTAGAGAATAAACCTTGACAGTGTATACCAAAGATCTAAAACGAAAGACTAAGTATGGAAAGTCATATAGAAGCTTTTCGCCATTTGTGTTCGTTCAGAGTCACTGTCCCTGGGGAACTGTTGTGGCAGAGGGGATAATGTGGGGTCTGCCTGCTCTGATAATAAGGGAAGGTGATTCACTTCTGTATTTACTCATTTTCCCTGTTGTTACTTACTTCTACCTTATGAGTTTAAATAAACAGTTTTCTTATATAGGACCCTTTTCCTTAAATCACATTAATGTAGACAATTTTGGAATATTTGAAGTAAGACAGGAAGATTGGTGTTTAGAGTTTACCCCCTTCGTATGATGTGAACACTTGCACATGTGTTTTTAGTGATGTGCCTGAGATCCTAAGCTTTTCTCTTCAGACCATAATTCCTCTCCAGCCAGAAGTATTTGCATCTTAGTAGGAACTATGGCTTATGGCCTGATATTTGCTAAGTTTTTCTTTGGCTTATATGGCTTTGTTTATGGTCTTGACATTGAATAAGTCAAGATTATTTGAAATATAAAGAATGCTGCAAATTTTTCTTTTTCGGTTTTATTTTAATGAAAAGTTTTCTTAGACATTAATAATTTTATTTGGTTGGAAGAATAAATCTGAATGATTTTAGTGTGTACTTAACAAAAAGCCAAGCATTTTTCTTGCATAAATCTGGATAAGATATTCACAGCATCTTACTTACTTTAAGTGATATATTTCTGTTTTTCAGCTTTCACTCACCTGCATTGGATTTTTTTCTTCTTTGTCTTTCTTTAAAAACAAAAACAAAACCAAAAAAAAAATATGAGTAAATGCTTAAGATTTGTCCTGCCTGCCTGACTCAGGGTCTGATATTGCCATTTTCTTCTTTGTTCCTAGCATAAGCATACACTAACAACAGGCTTTCATAAGGGATACATTTTTGAAAGTACAAATATCAATTTATGCCAAACATTTTTCCAAATAAAAGCTAGAGGAAGTTGAATTAAAGCCGCCTTCAGATATGTTAGCCTCCATGTCAACCACAGAATTATTTTTGTCTCTTTTTAGCATTTCACTTTTGAATAAAATTACTTACCCAGCAGAGACTGTCATGACAGGAAATGCTGTATTGCAAGTAGCACTTTCTACCCTTGCTGGCCAAGCTTGCCTTAAGCATCACAAACTGTCCAATTCCCGTGGGCTTTTTAAAGCCTTAGCTGTCCTTCTGGGGTGGCAGGCTGTTAACAACTGACCTTTTCTTGTACTCTGATGTATGTGATGACAGCAGGTGTTGACCTACAGTAGGAAGAAGCACACTGATGTCCCTGTGCACAGCAGGCAATACATGTGGAGTGAGTGGCTATCGGATGCTTTGTGGTTTTACTTTAGCATTCCTTCACAATCACTCATGGTATCTACCCACTTGTGTTTGTTTACAGACATGCTTCCATCATTTCTTCAGAAAGCCGAAGTTGTCTCCGAAGCTTCTAGAGAGACTTGTGTGGCCTTGAGTGACTGCCTCCACCTCTTAACTAAACAAGAAGGGGTAGGTTTTGGAATTGAATTTTTCAAAGCAATTGCTGGGTGTCACATGCCTAATTATCTGATAAGCCACTGTGTTCAAGTTGTTCAAAAGTAGTGTAAAATCAGTTTTATCAAAAGAAGTGAAAACTTCATTTCCCATCAAAATCAGAACTTACTCATTCTTGACCAGATAGGATGATTGTGAAATAAGCTGTGTTTACATCTTTGGGATGTATTGATGTAGCCATATTAAATAAACATGTGTAACACTCATCTAGCCAAGGTGGTTGTGACATTTCAATAAGAGGGATGGGAGAGTATTCTAGAACACACATCCATATATGAGAGTTGCATAATGCCTGAGGTCTAGAAAACAGGAGTTAGGTTGCCTGTCTAAACCGAACTCCATGACAAACTTTGCTCTGCTGCTTTCTGATTCGACAGTATGCCATCGGAGTTTCAAATCTGAGGAAGAACATCGTGCATGTCCATTCATTGTTCTTTTGCTAAGGATTAGAATGTTGTAAAATATCTTTTGTTGTCTGAATTGGTGTTTTTCTTGTCTGTAGGTTTTTTAAATTTCCCTTCTCATTTTAATGTGTGTGTGTGTGTGTGAGAGAGAGAGAGAGAGAGAGAAAGAGAGAGAGAGAGAGGAGAGAAGGAGGGAGGGAGGGACCTTTATTTTCTTAAGATATCAAATATCTTTTTGTTATAATTTATTTGCAGTATGGTCAGAAATTGGGTTTCATAAAATCAGAAACATACAGCTGGTTTATGGGGTTTTGTTTGTGTCTTTATGCAGAGATTGAACATTTTGTTCTTCTACGGGTAAAGCAGAAGCCTTACAAATTCATATACAAGTTTTAAAATTCTGCCTTTGTATGTGTATCACAAATTTCATGTATGATATTCTTATGTGGAAGAGAAGAAAACACTAGTATGAATTTATTGGAAAGAGTGGGGTTTTTTTTGTTTTTTTGTTTTTGTTTTTCCTCGAAACAGGGTTTCTCTGTGTAGCTTTTGAGCCTATCGTGGCACTCGCTCTGTAGACCAGGCTGGTCTCGAACTCACAGAGATCCTCCTGCCTCTGACTCCAAAGTGCTGGTATTAAAGGTATGTGCCACCAACACCTGGCCGGAAAGAGT